GGTGCACTCTCCGGCTCAGGGCCCCTCTCCTCCAGGGAGGGCTGCTTACCTTTGGGTTTCTCCTGGGTGACTGTGAAGCACTGTGGCTTGTGAAAGTGGCATTTTTTCTCTCCAGAAGAGAGTTTCTACATGTTCCACCTCAATTAGGATTGTCATTTTTTGCAAGGGTTCCTCTTATCTAGTTTTCAGTTCTCTCTCAGGGGTAATTTTTCCCAGAGTAGATGTAAATCGGCTGTGTTCGTGGGAGGAGGTGAGTTCAGAGTCTGCTTATGCTACCATCTTGACTTCTCTCCCAGATTTGTTTTGAAACAATTTTTTTCAGTGAAAATTTCTTTTACTTTTTTTACTGCGGTAAAATATACATAACATAAAATTGACTATTTTGATCATTTTTGCATGCAGTTTAGTGACTTTAGGTACATCCACATTGTTGTGCAACCATCAGGACCATTTTCTCCAGAACTTTTTCATCATCACAAACTGGAACTCTGTGCACTTTAAACAATAACAGTCCTTTATCCCTTTCCCCCAACCCCTGATAACCACTATCTTCTTTATTTCTCTTATTATTTGACTAGTCTGGATACCTCCCCTAAGTGGAATTGTACAATATTTGTCCTTTTATGTGTGGCTTATTTCACTTTGCATAATGTCTTCAGGCTCATCCAGGTTGTAACATGTATTTTCCTTTTTAAGGCTGAATAGTATAAATATACATATGTACCACATTTTGTTAATCCATTCATCTGTCACTGGGCATTTGGGGTTTCCACCTTTTGGATATTGTGAATAATGTTGCTATGAACACTGGTGTGCAAATATCTGCCTGATTCCCTACTTAAAACAATTTTAATCACCTTCTAGATTAGGTTTTCTATTCTACACTGAGCATCATTTATATACATATTCTTTAGCATCTGCCTTGACTGCAGATCTGATTAAATAGATGTAGTGTATTAATTTTTAATGTAATTATTTTAATTTAAACAATTATAATAAAATCTAAATAAAATATTAAATTACATTAAGTTAAATTACAATTTTAGGTTAAAAAATAATTTTGGCAGTTCCCATGTACTTTCACAAACTACTGAAAACTACAGACCTTCTATCCCTTTAACAAATATGTGTATACCAAAATCTATAAACAATTCAAGGTGTTCATGGATCCCTTCAGTTTTATCCTCAGGTTCCAGGCTTGAGTGTCTACAGTTTCTTTCACTATTCCCCATTCGTGGGCATTTTTGAGACTTTGAAACAGCATGTTCACCCTTCACATCTGTAGTACAGCCTGGCTAAATGTCTGCAAATAAGGAAAACACAAGATTGGGTTAAGATTCCTGACTTGATACCTGTTTCAGTGTGTTGAAATATTTGAACCATTCACTAACTCCTTGTTTGGACACATTTCCCCATCTTGTTTATTCATTTACAACTTTAATAAATGAATGACCAGTAGCTCTGAAATAGCAAAAATCTCTAATGCTCACATGTAGTAATGTTTCAACCAATATCTGGAATCACAATTTGGTTATAGGTAGAGGCTGATAGGAGATTGAGGAGCATGACAGAAGAAGCCTAGATTGCCTTGTACAGACTTAGTAGAAATATGAATATTAAGAACTGTGCTAATGAGGACTCAGAAGGAAGGGAGGAACGTGGTAGAGAAAATATATCTTGTCTTGGACAGTATATGCATCTTCCTAAACAGAATTCTGGTAGAAATATAGATGTTAAAGGCTTCTTGCTGCTGATAGTAAAATGTGAGATGAAAGACATAAATTGATGGAGGAACATAAACATAATGAAACCAGGACTTCATGATTTTGGACATTCTCAGTCTATCGAGATTGCAACAGATTTTAAAATTAGGGCATTCGTTGTGAGGAGAGCAATGAATTCTTTTCTCTTATGGAGAAAACGAGAGTTGTGGCTGGATAAGCTTTTGCTACTGCCTCTGAAGGATTAAAAGGTCAGAATGTTCAGTCTCACAGAGAGCTCTTTGAAGATTAGGTTTGTGACTCATGGATCCCTCCAGGCATATTGGCAGATGCCAAAAATAGAGATGAAATTACTTTGTAAAAATCTGTGGAGCAGCCTGTTGTCCAGTGGATTGAATTCCCATGACATACCCAAGAGACCCACAAGGTACTTGAGAATTTTATACCAGAAGAAGAAACACTGCCAGTTTGGACTGAAAGAGACATAAGATAACATGAAGGAAGGCTGTTAGACTCCTAAAAAGTAAGAAAGAGGCTGATAACCCTTCAACTGCAAACATGTGACACGCTTTATAAAAAACAAAGAAGAAGTTGAGGGTGAAGCAGTGAGCCCAGAGGGTATATCTTGAAGCTTATAGGGCTGAGCTTCAAATCACAGAGCATTATTTCCTGTCCTGAAAACCTAATATTGTTTGCCCAGTTGGATATCAAAATTTCATAGGACAGGCAACTCATTTTTTCCTTTTATTTTGTTCCATTTAGAGTGATAATGTCGGTAACTGGTGTGTTATACCTGTCCCACTATTGTTTCTTGGCAGCAGAAACTCATTTTCCAGTTTCATTAGGTTCACAGATGGAGAGAACTTTTGTCCCTTGATGGATAATACCCAGACTTTCACTGATACCTGAAAAATTTTTTGGATGATATAATTTGGGACTTTTCCTCTGATGATATTTAGATGAGATTTTGAACTATGGGTTGATAGTGTAATGGTTTGAGACTTTTGGCAATGTTGGGATGGAATGAATGCATTTTCCATGTGCAACGTACATGAATGTTTCAGGTGCAGACAGCAGAACGTAGTAGGGCAATAATTTCCCCTCCAAGATATCCATGACTTAATCCTTAGAACCAGTGAATATGCTACCTTAAGTCGCAAAGGGATTTTGCCAATGTGAATAATATAAGAATCATGAGATGGAGAGATTATCTAGATTATGCAGGTAGGCCTAATATAATTTCAAGAGTCCTTCTATCAGAAAGAAGAGGACAGGAGAGTAAGAGAAAGAAATATAATCATGGAAGGAAAAGTCAGAGTGATGTGATTGCCGGCTGGAAGGAGGCCGTGAGCCAAGGAATGCAGGCAGCCACTAGAAGGTGGAAAAGGCAAGAAAACAGATTGTCTTCTAGGGCTTCCAGAAGGAACGTAGAGCTACCCACATCTTGCTTTAATCTCAGTGAGACTCTTTTTGGACTTCTGATCTCCAGAACTATTAGATAAGAAATTTGTGTTGTTTTAAGCCTCTAAGTTTATAGTAATTTTTACAGCAGCAATAAGAAACTACACAGATATCATAGGTGGTCAGGAGAATTCCAGGAGGCACAAGAGGAGATTGTTAAAGCCTCTACAGTAAAGGCAACATTGGGGGCACTCATGGCAGGGCCTATTGTATTGCAAATTGGACAGACTCTAGAGTCTCTTGTCATGGGGGCCCTACTCAAATTAGGCTTATTTTTAATTAATAAGCATGATTGGACTTAGATAAAACTTATAAATGAGAAATATGTTGTCTCCAGAATGCAAAAATGCCAAAAGATGTTGGCCTTGTTGAAATATTGTGATATCGTGAGTGAACAGTTTCTTGACAGTGTCATGGATAGAGAGGCCTTAGGCTGACCACATAATTCCCAGGAATATAACTGAAATACTAGCCTTGAGCTCTGTGTGAGGGCAATGGTGCATCCCTTTGTGTGAGCTCCTTTGTGAATGTTTCCATATCTTGAATGGGTATGGCAAATGAATCTCTTTGAGGAGGATGTCCTCAATGTAATGTCATACCTGTGCTCCTGGAGAAAGTTGGATCTGGTTAAGATCTTGCTGACAAAGTTTGTTGCCAATGGAAGGGCGGTTGAAGTACCTCAAGGGTAACCCCTTAAGGGTGTATTCTTTCCCTTTCAAGGTAAAGGCAAACTACAGGTGAGAACCTGCTGAAATAGTTATTGAACAGACCATATTAGCCAAATCTATGATGTAAGGTATTTGCCAGTAAATACTTAGATAGAGTCAGTAATTTCACTAAGATTGGTATGAGAGTTTTCATATGTGGGACCATGCACTAATCTCTCCCCAGTCCCTACACATGGTTAGGTTAGATACCATGACTGATGAAGGCACACACGCTTGAAGAGAGTATCAAAGGTTTATTACTCGAATAATAAGGCTTTTTTTGGGAGAGTGGGACAGGCTCTCAAGCAAATGTGAAAAATGGCTTTGTAGAACAAAGAGGGAAGTCTAGCTTGAGTTTTTCTTATGGGTATGGGGTTGGGATGGGGTGAGGATTCCCTCTGATTCGTCTGACTTTCACAGTTTGAAACTCCCATTAGGGCCAAAGGAGGGAGCTTGGGGACTTTCTTACCTGTTTGTCCAGATCAGGCACAGAAGTGGGAGTGGGAGAGAGGGCTTGAAATCTGTTAGCAGTCAAACATCAAAAACAGACTCAGACTTTGTATTACACGTGGGTGATGGGGGAGAAGCCAAGTAGGTAAGTAGAGTTGCAGAAGACTACTATTTCAATTAAGCCATTGAGTACGTTTTACTGAATCATAAAACATTTTGGATGTATCACTTTAAATAATGGACAACAAATTTTTCTAAACCAGAAAGGGCAGAGGCTCTGGAATCAAAGAGACCTGTATTTAAATACAAACTGTACCACTTCGTATGTGTGTAACCTTGACAAATTATCTTAAACTCAATTAATTTTGTTTCCTCACCTATAAAGTAAGACCAATAGCTATACTTTCAGTGAAAGCTTTAATGGAATCTTCCATCAATTTAAATTGAAAAGCAATCCTGAATCTTTTTAAAGTTCTTAATCCATGTTTTCAGTTTATAAGATTGAATGATGAGACAGCAAACAAACCAAAGAAAAATAGTCCAAAAGGCAAACATTCAAATGAATATGAAATTATTGGAACAAATTTTGCTGTCATAAGTCTAATGTAAGTCCATATTGTGTGACATATTTAACATTTTTAACCTGTTGGTGTTTTCCTAGGTTTCAAAGAGGAGGAAAAATCTTATCAAGTTATCCCTTGGCTTCTACCTGAAGATCATTACAAAGAATTTATGAAGTTTTTTGATTTCTTTATGAAAGAAGCTTTGGCTGGCAGGTAAGTTCTTTTTATTATTGGGACCAAAGAGTCACTATTGTAGTTATACAAATGAATGGATGGATATATGTACGCTTGGACTGAGATTCTGAGAAAGGGATGGATGGACGGATGGATGGATGGATGGAGGATGGATGGATGGATGGATGGATGGAGGATGGATTGATGAAGCGATAGATGACGAGTGGATGGTTGGGTAACCAAGTTTTTCTCTCCAAATCATCCAGTCCCGTCACTGGAGATTCTCTTGCATTCTACTGTCCCTCTTCCACTACAAGTGTGAATATGTTTGTGTAGAAATTGGGGGTTGTTCTTTCTGGGACCTCTTTGCAATTCTTCACTTAACGATCTTTGTCTGTAATCTCCCCAACACGGAGGTATAGGTGCCTCAATCTGTCACTGTTGTTAAGGAAAGGAGAGCCACCTTTTTACACTTATTTTTCCTCCTTCTTGTCACATGTATTGATTAATGAAGGAAAGACTTACGAACATTGATTTTGTAGTACTTGAACACGTGGGCATGTAAAGTCCTTTTAAAGAGCAATCAACCTCGTGCTAAATATGACATCACCTTTTGCTTCATCTTGAATGGAAAGGAACATGTAACTCCTTAACCTTAGACATAAAAGTGGGAAGACGAAATCCATGTTTATCTTGGTTAATTACAATGGCCTTACCCCTTCCTTTTACCTTGAAAATTCTACTTATAGTCAAGGTCCTGCTCAGATATGACTTCTTCCATAAAGCCTTCTTTTCTCACTCAGATTGGAAGATCCCAGTCCCTCCTGTACAGACCTGATCTAACCTACTTATTTGACACTTACTGGTAGTGTATATCATCTTGCATTGCTCATTATATATTTTAAGTATATGCTTTGTCTCTTCTCTGTTAATTTAATATTTTTGAGGACAGGTGTAGATAACTGTACATTCTTGAAAATTTTACTATTTATTAGCTAAATGTTAAATGTGATTAGAGAACTATATTGTATTGGTGCCGGCCCCGTGGCGTAGCGGTTAAGTGTGCTGCACGCTCTTCGGCTGGCTGCCTGGGTTCAGATCCCGGGCACGTACTGACGCACCGCTTGTCAGGCCATGCTGTGGCGGGGTCCCACATAAAGTGGAGGAAGATCGACATGGATGTTAGCTCAAGGCCAGTCTTCCTCAGCAAAAAGAGGAGGATTGACATGGATGTTAGCTCAGGGCTGATCTTCCTCAAAAAGAAAAAAAAAAAAGAAAAAAACATAACTATATTGTAGGAATTTTACAGCATTATTGAAATTTTCTAAAATACTTGGCAACCACTCCTTTGGCAGGTGAAATCTTTAAAAATACACAGCAGAGGATGATTTCAGGCAGTAACTTCCCTTGTGTGCTTCTAAGTTGATCCTAAAGATCAGGCAGAGATCTGCATATTACTAATAAGTTCTCAGCCTCTGGGCCTTCTCTATCTGGGGTGCCGTTTTGCAGTCGTGTACAATTAAATGTGTTCCAGGGTCTCAATTCTTTTGTCCTCCATGCAGCTGGCAGGCACCTGACGTCTTGAGCCCTTGCCCCTGTTGCCTCTGGCACCCTAAAGTACAGATAGACCTCCTCATCTATTTCCCCATATGTTGTACAAACAGGAAACAGGATCATATTCTGTACAGGCACTGACGGGAAAGCATTGCTAGCAGTTGGTCCCTGAAATAATCTCATAGGCAGAGTCTTAATTTTATGTCAATAAGCTTTGCCATTATCTTCTCTGGATACGTCAGCCTTTATTGAAGTGGAAGGGCTAATAATGTGTCTCAAAACCAAGCAGATTTTTTTTTTTTTATTGCTTAACTCATGGGTGCAGAAAGGAGGAATTCCTATTTTTAGCTGAGATTTTGACTGCTAACATGATCAGAGTCCCCAGGTGACAAAGGTGTTCTATCATATGCCAAATACACAGTGATCAAAAAAAATGCCTATATGTCAATGTTTTTGGGACTGTATCATTAAGAAATTTCCACAGTTTGGCAGAGTAAACGAGAAAATCGCTTATGAAAAGTCTGTATGTAAATGAAAGTTAAGGTAACATCCAAGAATTTATCAAGTAGAAAGAGATCTATAAGGTCAGCTATGGTCATAGAAGGCTCCCAGAGCAGAAGGCCTAACAGTGGCAATTTGATTTCAGTTGGGCTAATTCAACTGTGCCCATGGATTTCAATAATTGACAGTTCCAAGATAACTTTTCTAATGAACTGGCTTAGAGAGTTCTTGGGATTTGGATTGGAGAGGAGATGGGATGGGCAGAAGGGAACACTCTCAGGAGCAGAACATCTGCCAGCATGAGTGAGAAGAGGGTATTCATGGACACGGTGAACAGGATGCTGCTGTTACATGTGGTCTTGCCCAGCTGGGAAATTTCTTTTTAGCCCAAGATTCTTTTATGTATTGTGAAATTAATATCTCCAAAGAATATTTACCGTTTATTTTCTTTCTTTCAGAGACAAATTTGAAAACTTTTTAAAAGCGATGGAACTAATGGGACTTCAGTGCAGTCATTTGCTAAAGAGAAATGATATCATAGCTTCCTTAAAGGATGAGAACTTTGACCTGATATTTGTTGATATGTTTGACTTGTGTTCTCTCCTCATTCCTGAGAAGCTTGGGAAGCCATTTGTGTCCATTATTTCCACCTCGTTTGGCTTTATGGACTTTGGACTACCAAGCCCCCTGTCTTATGTGCCAGTATTTGATTCCTTGCTAACCGACCATATGGACTTTTGGGGCAGAGTGAGGAACTTCTTGATGTTTTTTGATTTCTCTATAAGGCAATGGAGAATCCACTCTACATTTGACAACACCATCAAGGAGCATTTTCCCGAAGGCTCTAGACCAGTTTTGTCTCATCTACTAAAGAAAGCAGAACTATCGTTTGTTAACTCTGACTTTGCCTTTGATTTTGCACGGCCTCTCCTTCCCAACACTGTGTATGTTGGAGGCTTAATGGCCAAACCTGTTAAAGCAGTACCACAAGTAAGTAAAACCTTAGCTGTCAATATGGTCTTCATGCAGAGGTCTTCAGTGTAGAGCTGGTGGCTGCCCCTGCCAGTGGAACCCTGGGAGAGAAGTAGGGTGAGGCGAGTGAGGCACCTAGGATGCACTTTTTAAGGAAGTACTCACTTCCAGGGTCATGCAAGTAGAGTGATGGGACTTGCACAATCCGAAGACTCGGTACTTCCTTAAGTGGTACACCCAGGGTCCTCTCTTGCCTAGACCTGACCCTAGTGGAATAAGCCATTTAATAAGTTCATATTTTCATTTGCATTTTGTATGATCATTTGTACAGTAAATATGCAATAATCATTTGTCACATGCCACATGCAAGAATTGTAAACGAGGTGAGTTAATGAAACACACAACACTGTGAGACAGGGTGTAACCAAGACAGGACTGCATGGGACTGACTGCAGGCATTTTCTCCAGTATCCCCAGGCTGTAGATCCATGGTACCTAACTCCACCTAGACCTTCTGATTTGGTTAATCTGGTGTCAGGGCTGGGCATTGTAAGTTGTGAACCTGCCTAGTCATTTTGAATGCATAGGCTCAGAACCACTGGTAGAAGTTTTCAAAATGGAGGGGAGCTGAAATTAGTTGGCTGCTTGTTGCCTATCAGCACTGGGTTGCTATTTTATGGAATCTATCATATATATATATAGTATCCCAGAGGGAAGCATGATGGTCTCCATTTTTATAAATGAGAGACAGAGGCTCAGTTGGTGTAAATAATTTTCCCAACACCATTCACTTCAGAGTCAAGAAGAGCCCTGACTTGGCCTGGGCCTTGCAGGAACCAATGTATCTACCCTTTCTCTAGTGACCTTGCATTGAGTGAGCAGGAAGAGTTGAAGAATGATCCATGGGCTAGATGGGCTCTGAGTTGGTGGCAAGATTTTTAGGAATGAGCTGGGAGGGAAGACATTTCAGGTGGGGAGAACAGGGAGCCCCAAGTATGGAGGTGGAAGTCATATGGTCATGACTCTGGGTTCCCTGGGTGACTCTGGCTAGACTAGAAGGTGGAAGATTCAATACACACATATAACCTGGCCAGATTGCAGGAGGTCTTACTTACAAGGGTGACTCAGGCCCTGGCCATAGTGCAGGGGGAGGGAATTGTTAAGCAGGAGCATAATGGGAACCCACAAAGGGTTGCAATGACTGTGAGATAACAGAGGATTTCTTCAAAAAATTTTCTTCTCTGTATTTTCCAATTTGTATGTAATGGACTTATGATGCTTTGGTAATTCTAAAAGGCTGTTTTAAAGTGGTCCTTCGAGATGTTAATTAGGCACTGCTATGCTGGATGGAATCAACCCAACAGGATGAGGGTCTAGGAGTTGAGAAGGAGCCACAGATGTCTAGAGAATGTCAGGATCCTGAGAAATATTGGAATTAAGAATTGACAAAACTGTGTTAAAGCCAAGATTGTAACCTTAGGTCACAACCCTCCTTAAGAATTGCCTGGGGGGGCCGGCCCCGTGGCATAGCGGTTAAGTGCACGCGCTCCGCTGCTGGCGGCCTAGGGTTTGGATCCCACGTGCACAGCGAGGCACTGCTTGTCAGGCCATGCTGTAGCGGCGTCCAATATAAAGTGGAGGAAGATAGACACAGATGTTAGCCCAGGGCCAGTCTTCCTCAGCAAAAAGAGGAGGATTGGCATGGATGTTACCTCAGGGCTGATCTTCCTTACAAAAAAAAAA